GAACCAAGAATGATAAATACAATTCCATATTATAAAAACTTACTGAAGTTAGTGCAATAATAAAACAGAAAAATAAACTCATTATTTTAAGTGAACCTCATATATAGTTGCTAAACAGAGTAGCAACCTAAAAGAATTTTATACCTGATGTGAACAACCATAGTAAACACAATAAAAATGCTTACCACTAAGAACTCTATCTCTGATAGTAGCTTCACATTGTTTGTGTTGCTGAGATGGATTAGGTGATTGCTTTCTGAAATTTGATCCATTTGCTCTTTTACACTCTGAAGCATTTCTTCGTAACTGCTCAGCTTTAGCTCAATTTGGTCAACTTCCTTCAGAGCTTCATCCAGCAACTTCATCAAGATATTCACCTGTTTCTCTGAGGCCATAATTGACTGGATATTTGCCTGTACAGAAAATTAAACCGCAACATTTAAAGAGACATTTTTATATCTCAAAAGCATTCTTCCAGCTCCTTCTGTCGCCATTACCATCAAATCAACACTTTCCAAAACTCTTGATGAAAGAGACAAAACAATATAAGCTTGTAGTACTTCTCATTTAAAGTGTTATTGAACGCAGCAGCCCCTCAGTCTATAATACTTCTTTATTGCATAAAGATATAAAATCAAAACTTTGCTCAGGTTCATAGAACTGAAGTATTGATCTGCACAAAAATAAAAACCAAACAGTAATCTCTAGAACACTCTTAGGTCCAGAAAAACAGCTTAAGTGATAAAGTCACATTTTCTGTTGCAAAATCAGCTATGTCTATGCTAACAGCCATTTTCAAAATGTAAGAGAAACATACAACTTGACAAGTTGAGGAGGTTGTGGACTGTTCCGTCAAGACCATATCCCCTACATCTCCTTAAGTTTTGTAAGTGACATCTAGAACATTGGGTTGTTTAAAAAGCAAACTAGCAAACAATATGGTACTGTTACAGACAGCCAAATATTGCAACATTATTAGACTAAGCCAGTTTCCTAACTACACTGAGAGTAGTATTTTAGGCATAAGAGTTCACATCCATAGATATGAACATCTATTCTCTCTCTCCCTGCACCACTGCCTTCAAGAAAAGTATCTGCAGAATGCCTCCCTTTTTACTTCTCATCTCCTCATTGGAAAGCCTGCAACTCACTCCAGAAGGTCTGGAAGGTAAACAGCAAAGTTAAGATCTTTAACATCTGGTAACAGACAGAATGTAGCTCTGCTTAGGAGCAGATACACATCTATATTTAAATATGCAGCAGAACACTTTAGCTACCTTTTCAAAGAAAGCTATGAAGTCAATATCAATGGAAACGGTTCAACATACAAAAGCAGTGTACATTAGAAGAAATGTTTACCCCATCTAGCACTTGTAGCTCTCTTGACAACTTCTCTGCAAAGGCTTCAGCATTAGAAATAGCATATTCACACCCTTCCATCATTATTTCAATATCCTGTTCCTCTCTTGCATTTAACTCCTGGTATTCATCGACAGCCTCTTCATCACCTCCTGCTACGCTTTGATTCTCTCCACTTGGAACGGATTCTTACATAGAGAAGGGAAATAAAACACGTTATCAAGTGCAGAAAGTTACAAGCATTTATACTTAAGTTTGTTCCACTATCTTGAAGTAAATTAATCCATTAAATAACTTTCATAACAAGCACCTGCTACCTACGCACACTTTTTTCAAGTCTCCGTCTTCCATGGACTTCATTAAGAGTTCCAGAACTGGTTCCTAACAGTGATGTTTTCCAAATTACGGAACATAAGCAAAATACAAATAGTCATCTTCCTTTATTGCATGTACAAAGGGACATACTGTCTCACTTTATTTACCTCTCATACTGGTAATCAACAACAGAATCTATTACAGTATTACGCTAGACTTGTTAGCGGAAGATCCGTAGAAGTTAGACTCTTTTGGTAGATAGAGCATAAGGGAAACATATTAAAGTTGATTAAGAAATATATCACTGAATAAATAAAAAATAACTTGATGCTCAAGGTAAGCTTCACAGCTGGAAAATCAGTACTGAGGTAAGTGAAAATTACATAATCATGTTTTCATGAACTATGATTTCTCATGGCAGTGCTTACTTAATTCAACAAGCCATTCAAAGGCTGACAAACAATTTACAGAACATTAATGCAGTCCAGCCAAAAGGTGTTTAGGACATTTGAAACATCTCTTATCTCTAGCAACTTGATAAGCTATGCAAAGCACTATTAAAAGAAATAGTAAAAAGTATATTTAAGAAAAATTGCTTATAAAGCAGAATAAAGGAAAGAGGTGTTACGCACCTTCTGCAACTTTAGGCAGTTCTGAAGAATTAAAAGGTATGGAAAAGCAGAGGAAAGGAAGCAGAGAATGTTAGCTAGACAAGGTATGAACAGTGTGTATATTTTTAAGTGGCAGTAAGTTTGAATGTTTTAATATTGCATGAACTTGAAAAGTTAGAGGTTGGTTAAAAGCACATTTCAGTCCAAACCAAAATACAGAAATGCTATCATCCACCCTGTTTTACATTTCTAACTCACGTTCTTCTGCACAAGCCAGTCTAGTATTTAGTATCAACAGTTCAACCACTTCTGCCACACTCAACATGAGATATGCTAACTCACTAGGCTTGTCCTGGTTTTGGCTGGGATAGAGTTAATTTTTTTTCATAGTAGTAGTATAGGGCTATATTGTGGATTTGTTCCATGACAAGGCTTTACTATTAAAAGATAATGCAACTGTAAAAATACTTAATAAAGCATAAGCCTTCTTAGCAACCAGTTACATAAACTGTAATAGGGCTTATAAACTAGAAATCTCATATAAAACCTCATATAACCTTCAGCATGCTACTGAAGAGTCACTTTTTAAGCATTTTTCTAATTCAGGGGAAACAAAAATGGGAACAAAAGATTTGTTACACGTTTAGACCTATCAGATCTTGTAGGTAGATTTTATTTTGTTCAAGGAACAAAATGTCTTAGAAATACAATAAGCTTATCAATATTTAGAACTTCATTAATGAATTTTTTGTCTCAGTTCTCAGTTTTCTAACAGAAAATCTGTTATTTAGTCACCTTATTGATCTGAAGACTTAGAAAATATAAAAGAATAAAATAGGAAAAAAATGAGGATTAGGATTATTTTTCTTTTAGTATATGGTTTACATCAATAATTAAACTTTGTGCTTAACATACGGTTGTAGAAATTTACCTTCCAAAAGCTGCGAACTAACATTAATAAAGTCAATTTTCTTTCTAAGATATCTTTGATTGAGTTTCCAGATACATGAAATGAAGGTGTTCTTTTCCACTGTGCTGCTTGCAACCCATTTGTACACTTTGTCAAAATGCAAGTCAAATTCAGGATTCTCCTGCAAAAGATGAGATATGTTATAGGCTCAACAGTCCAATGATTCTCTGAGCAGCAGAGATTGTTTACTCAATTATTGAGATGACAGGATAAAAATGAAATTACACAGATGCCAACCTCAAGCTGATAAACCAACACTGGCGCCCTGATGCACCTTAATGAAGGTACTAAAACATTAAAAATGAAAAAATCAGAATCCACACTATGAAGACAGTATTTTGTCAAAACAGGTAAGGCAACAATAACACATAATACAGAGATCTGTAAGAGTTTCAAGAACCATTTGACAGTGCTGTCGGCCCTGAAACACTGTACTCAGAATGACTAATGCCTTGCGTAAACCTTCTGAAACTAAAAACAGCAGCTGGAATTACTGACAACAGATACAACACAGTTCAAGGAGACTTAGGGGAATAGGCAAGGGGGAAAAATTAGGAGCACTTTATATATTTTATATCTGTAATAGTATTTAATAGCACTGAACAGGACAGAAAGATCATTTGGGATTTTAATGGTAAAAAAACTACTATAGAAGTATTTTCAACTAGATTTATTGCCTGATGAGAACATTGCTTTGATAACAAATGAATAACGTATTTTCCTTTCTACAGCCACTTACAAACTCAGTATGGACTGTAACTGGTAACAGTCTGTTTTAAAGATCATATTCCAAGCATTTTACAAGGTCCAGCCTCCTTCTGATGAAAATCATTATTGTCTCAGATACATGTTAAATTCTTTCTTATATATAGTTTGTAAAAATTATTATTGCTGCTACTTATTATTTATATCATCACTACTATCTGTAGAAGCAGGCTGCACATGAAACTGCACACGATGGGCAACGGTATTTCCTGTACAGCACAATAAAAGCAGTTCTGTTTTTTTCTGTAGCTTATATTGATAAATATAATTACTATACAATTCTAAACAAAGAGTATCATTGCATAGAATTTGAGATGTCTGACAACTAATGCAGGAAAGGCCTGTATCAAAACAGTTGCACAGGATCACATTTGGAAACCAAAACATGATGCACCTATCAACTTTAATCCTGACATTTTTTAATACAAGAGAGTTTGGTATTCAACATTTGTTTTTTGGAAAAAAATTCAAAATCACTCTTCAGGGTAGTATATACATTACAGCACATTTCTGAAAGCAGTTAACCAAATTCTATTTTACAAGAAAAAGCGCTGAAAGATGGTGTAATTTTAAATGGAACCTTAACCTGAAAGAAGCAATTCTTTAATTTAGGAACAGAAAGGAAAATCTAAAATTTAGCCAACAAGTATGTGGATAACTGAAATAACAAAACATATTTGACCTACAATGGGGAGGGGGAAATCAACGAATTTTCAACTTGCACTATTCTTCCAAATCACCAGTTAACAGAACATAAAACCAGACATCATGGGATGAAGAATTTTCACCTCTGCCTGTTTGTACATCTTAGTTTATGACAACAGATAAATTTAAATTGTCAAAAATTGGTTACTGCCTTCTGTGGAAAACACCACCACCTCAGGACTGTACGCTTTCCAACAAATGGCCAACATCATGATTTAGAGAACAGACAGAAGAGCTTACCTTCAAAAGCATATGTAACTGCTCATTAAGAATGTTTTAAGTGTCCTAGCAAAAAACATTACATGTAGCTCAATGTCATTAATAAGATATTCACAAATTTTTTTGAAGGGGAAACTAAGCATGGAATAAAAATTTACATAAAACAAATACAAACTTACAAACAAAAAAGTACTGGTCCTTCGCACAGGCACTGTACAGTCACCGAGAGACCATTACAATAAACGGGGTGGATATTCAGAATATTGCTATTCAAGCACATCTAGACTACTCTCACTCAGTTTACCACAGTTATACTCGTGGAAAGACTGGAAGAAAATGTAGGCATAAGCACCACAGGAATGTACCATGCTAATTCCTAATTAATGTGTTATCAATCTAAGCTTTAAAGCAGTCAGTGCCAAGGAAGTTAACTCTAGCTTGGAACCTTAAAGATGATCTGAGCAGAACAATAAACCAAAAAAAGTTACACATACTTTAACAGCATCTTTGGCATCAACAACAGCAAGATCTCGAAGTGCCCATGCAGTCTGCCTTTTGTAGAAATCTCCCTTGTCAGATTTTTTCACTTTTACCACATTTACTTGCACTGGTCGTTCCGTTGTCACTGTTAAACGAAGTAAAGGAGTAATTTCAAAATGCAAAAATTACTTTAACGTCCGTTTCTGCTGTACTTCAACTTCTGAAATGAAGTATTTGTGGGGGAGATTTCATAAGATTTATTTGATGGAAAGAGATCCGTTTCAACATTTTCATCCACAATATCCACAGCTCAGTTTAAGTCTCAGTCAACCAGATAAACATTTCTATACAGTTTGTGAAGTAATGAACCCAATTTACAGATATTTTGTTGGTACAGCAGACCTCAGACCATAGCCACATAACTGACAAAGCGCAGAGTGAACTGGGGATTATAGTCAGAATAAAAACATTTTCGGAGATTTCTCAGCCAAAAAAAAAAATTCTAGCAAGCTAAATTTATTGACAGATTGACCCAAAACACCTGATTTTTTGAAGAGAAATAATATAATACACATACACACAAAGGAACATTAGAGCTTAGTTCAGTTACTGTGTCTTTCCAGAGCCCTCTGCCTTGGACTCTAACCAGTACTCTTTCTTGCATTTTATTTAGGCTGACCAGCCTAAATGCCTACTAAATCCCCTTTTAAGCGCTATATAAAGCCTCCTTCAAAAGCCCACCAGTCCCATACAAATAATTTTGATTCTGTGATTTCAAATTACAATGAGATCTGGGAATAAAAGTACAGGGTTTTGTTTATTTTTTTAATAGAAGCAATAACAGCAGTATAAGCTACAATTGATTTTCTCCATGAGAAATGGAAAGCACCTGGGTTATATGGGGCAAGAAGAAATAAAGCTAAGACAAATGCAACTGAATAAAAAACAAAAGCAAAGAAATACAGTGTAGTATTTCTACGTACCTGTGGCACACAAAAAGCAGTTTCTCTTCTTTTTGCCTGCTTTGCACACATTCACAATGCTCAACAAGCGTTCATCATTGGGAGTGAAAATATCCCTCTGTAAAGCATGCTTGATTGCAGTCATTTTCTCTCAGCTGAAAGATTTTAAGAAGTCATAATACATTCAGGCACATTTAATGCACACACAAAAAAAGAACTAGTCATTTACTTACAGCAACTGCAGTTTTTTGAAATTAAATTTTACAGGTAACTTTATGAATTGTAATCTAGGCAAGCATGATAGATAGGCAGAAGACCAGCCAACTTCAGAAAAAAAATCCATGATAAAGCTTACTACCTTACTTCAGTTAGACAACCGTGATTTATCAACACTAGGATGATCCTTCTGCCTAATTTAATAGGGAACAAAAAACTTCTTAGTAGTAAAGTGGAATGTAAGGCATTGATAAAAGAAGTTGAAATGGGAATCAAGAAAAAAAAAAAAAGACGACTCCCTCACTAAGTAGTGGAATTTTAGAATAGGTATGAATGCCGTGGATCCGGTAAAAATCTGTATGAAGACAGGTGATCAAGAAAACCCACAAAATCTGACAGGATGGAGAATATGAAACTGAAGTCACTACAGTGATGGCCTTAAATGAAACAAAGTACAGAAGCCTTCAAATATACCTAAAACCTTCAATAAGGTTTTCAGGACTCTCTCACCAAATCAAGATTATACATTTGTCAGACCAAATTGAAAATAATGTTCCATTTAGAGGAAGAAAAAGTTATCTCTGGCTCCCTGCTTTGCAGGACAATTTTTGGAGTACATTCTGGAATGACTGCTATGACGTACTGTATCAATCCACCAACTCTGATGCCACAATTTCAAATCTAACAAATCATTACTTTTGGGTCTTGTATACCACATACACATCCTAATTCTCTTCTGGTAGGGGGAAAAAAATCATTCTGATTCGGGATCAGTGTCCCTGCATGCCTCCCCACTCCCTCCTCCCTTGGTATCATAAGGGAAATTCTAAATTAGTACTCGATGCCACGTTGTAAGAGCATTCTCAAGGATCCTGCTCCAATAGCTTTCTTAAAGCAGAATAAGTACATCACATTCTATTTGGTGGCAAAAAGGAGACCAAGCCAACCAACCATAAAAAACCCCAAAAAAACCCAAACACCAAAAAAACAGTCTGTGCTAGAGTTTTCCCAGGCTAATACCTCTGTAGTGAACGTTCGCGGTGGTTATCTGTTGTCAAATTCATCATTGCCAATTCCTGGAGTTACTACAAACTTCTTATTACCACAAGTGGCACCATCTTTATAACTTAACTTTACCCAGCAAGCAGGCATTACTACTTCTTTTTTTTTAATTAATAAAAACAGAAGACATTGCAGAGGGTCCATGTAATAAAATTTAATACATTTTTCTTAAGTCAGATTTATCTTCTGGCTATTGAAGTCTCTTCATAAAAAGCTTTCTTATAACAGAATAGCTCCTAGAAGATGCAAACTATGGGGGCAGATACACACCTAAGGCAACAAATCTCTGAGCATCTAGAAATACAGTGTTGGATTTCTTTGTTTTGTGTTTTAATGTTTTGCAAAGGCCTACTTCCCTGCTCTTGCCAGCTACCACATACTATTAAATGTAACAGGCTGTTCTTCTTCCTTCTTATCCTCAAATGAAGGTCTGGCAATTGTTACAGTAATGCAGAACAAAGAAATGCATCTTTGTAGCCGGTAGAAAGTTCAACTTCAAGGCCATCTAGATCTGAAAAGGCCACAACACAATTTTGCAAAGATAAGTCCATTAGGTTTGACTAGTTTGCTGCCTTTTCTTGGATGCATGGACTGGAACTCAGAAATGGAATGCTCTTTTGATTATGGAGTTTCTTATCTAACAAGGGAGTAACAGGATATTTCAAAAAGAGTAAGAAAGTATGTATGCTTAGTAATAAATCAAGAGATTTCTTCCAGGAATCAAGTGCTGACCTTGAACCCTCTAAACAAGTGCTAAAAGACTTCTGCTGAAAGATAGTAAACAGACATTACTTATTCACTCTCATAGCCTGTAACAGCAAATACAGGAGGTTGCACAAGGCCACCAAGGACTGCCCTTGGTACCTTCTGGTACATTGGCGGAGACAGTTTAATGTCAATGATGCAATCACATACCGTGGTGCATCTGCCATTAACAGCAAAAGTACTTTCCTAACACCCCCCAAAAGTTTGCTTTCTAGTTTTTATCCTCATTAAGAATAGGGGTCTCAGGTGATTTGAGGTAGGCAGAGGAGCAGAAAAGGAGATAGAGAGAGACTAGGGGGTGAAAGGGTTGGATCTGTTCACAGGGTTTCCCCTACCAGTGCTTCACCTCTGCAGTAACAACAGCCAGCAGTGGAAAAAAGTAAAGGGCGAGAAGAACGGCCTGTAAGAAAAGAAGGCTGTTCAGATTTGTGGGATTCGCATAAACAACTGGTTTGTTTAAAAACATTCACTGAGAATTCTGATCTTCTTTGGCAGTACCTTCAAGTAAGTATGCAACAGGCTCAAAAGAAAGCATCTGTAGTTCTAGCATGTTCATTTATAATGAAGGATTTGCAGAGGTAAAACAAGACCAGCATTAAAATAACGATGCACCAAACCAAGAATAAAATCCCACATCAGTCACAAAAATCTGAAAGACTTTTGAGATAAACTTCAGTATAATCCCCTGGTTTCCTAGCAAAGCATCGTCTAGTCCCCACCAAATTCTAGAAATCTGGGGCAGTGGGGGATTGAATAACACCATCCAATATTCAAACTTGCAGAGATCAATTAGATAAGCAAAAAACAACTCTCCCCCACAAAGCTCCATAAAATTAAGGAATTAGCAATATTCACCTGATTCAAAACAGTTTCTCATACTACAGAGAGATTCTAGGTAGACTAAAAAAGAACAACACTTAGACATCAATTTCAATCTTTTTATTTAAATACAGAAGCTCCAATATTACCCTGAACTTGTGCCTTAAAATTCTACAGTGTGTTAAGAACATGATTAATATATATCACATGCTACATTGCCTGATGCTGAGATGACACGTGGAGTTAAATTTTAGGTTGGATTTTTTTCTCTTGGAGATGCCTGGGTTGCTTTCTCTGACAAACACACAGCAAAGACAAAAAGGTTCCTGTGGCACTTGGAACAGAAAAGGCATCGACTTCTCTTTTATGTCCCACTATGCCTCAGCTCAGCTGGCTACCACCACATCTCTCACCTTAGGGAACCTACTAGTTTGAAAAATTAGTAACCCAAGGGTTTTGGGAAAACAAGGGTCAATATATCAAGCTGGAATCAGTATTGTACAGTGTACAGGGCTCAGGGCATCCAAAGAAGCAGTGTTTATATGACACCCCTATGGCAATGTAACACTCCATGGCTGCTGCTTAACCATTTGCCTCCCCTTTCATCAAGTGCTGGGCCCAGCTTCTGTTTCCCAAATTGTATCAGGTTGTCATTCCTGTTATCCTTCAACAGATGCATAAAACGAACACACAAAGTACCAACAACCTGCTGTATTTCAGAAATATCCCCTTTCCTTCCTGATCGAGGATTTTACTTTCTGCTCTAAAACACATTCAGACTGATGCAACTCACTAACTCCTCCATTTCAGTGCTAACACAAGTTGTCCAGGTAGTGCAGGATACACCTTACCTGTGAAACAGAACACGTTAAACCAAAGATCAAAGACTTGCTCTGACATATAGTCCACCTTCCTTAACAAACTCAATCCCCTTAGTCACAGCCACCAAAACCTTCACAATGTGCCAGGACCAAGTAAGTTCTTCCCACATGACTCCCGCTGTCCCAAAGTAACACAGAATTAAACACAAGGAGCTAGAGATAAAGCTGCTTCCTCAGAAAAATGCTTCAAGACAGCCAAGACCCTGCCAGTTTCTAATAAATCCCTTTAGACACCGCTGCACTTTTTTTTTTCCAGTGTTGTTGAGACAAAGCCTGGCTACACGCAATCTATCCAAGGCACCACATCACAGACATAGCCTCTCCGGGCAATACACGGGAAGGATTCAACAGCACAATTGGGTAAGGCCACTTAGTGAGCGCTGCTCGGCCTCTCTGAATGTGTAAACAGGAAGCCATGCTACTTCTGCACGGCTAAAACATAACTCGAGAGCATAGCCTAACTGCAACATCCCCGGCAAGGCCGTTCATAGCCAAAAGTCGATCAAAAGATCAATCATTTAACGGAAAACTCAGAGGAGTTACTTATAGCAGCGGCGGCCTCCCAAGGGTCCGTCTGGCACCAACTTCACCGCCTCCCGCCTGCGAGCCCTGCAGACAC